CTCCATCATATTAGCGTTAGAGCTTCGAATCTTCAAGTGATTCTTCAAGTGTTCTTGGGTTGAACACTTCTCTTCTTCAACACTTATCCACTGAAATCACTTAAGGTGAGTTCATACCCCTACATTTTCATGTTTTCTCAAGTTTTCAGGGGGGGAATACAAGTTAAAACACTAAGAACATAACTAAATTTTTCTAACAGCCTTCATCAGAAAAGTTCAACTCCATTCACGGACTGTTTTGGGCATCTTAAACATTTTTGTTTTCAAAACTGTACAAGGTGCAAATAGTTCAAGTTTTTAGCTTTAAAATGGCTACTTGCACATCTCCATACGATTTTTCTACAATTTATGGTGATTTTTACAAAACTGCCTATCATTTCAAACAACAATCCGGACCAGTCTGTGATTTTGGACTTTTTCACCCAAGTTGGAGGTCATTATAAATTGTGATAAAAATTATGAGCAAACTAGACACATTTTGTGAACTCTCAGAATTTACGGATCTAGTTTTCGACTTCGTATGATTTTTCTATGATTTTTCCAAAACAGGGCAGAATTGCTAAATTTTGCCAACAGCATGTAATTATCAAAACTCTTTGTATTATGTTGAGCAAAGTGTGTAATCATAAGTTCTAATTTTTGAATGTGTTTCTTTGCTAGTTTATCATTATGAACTGAAACTAAGTCATTCATATTAAATATTATTCATTCATTTAGAACACGTATCATGTAACTATAAAAGTATAGTTGATAAATTCACAACACTAATACATTTCCATAAAAGAATTCATACATATTAGATACATTTTAGATAAACTATAATAGGTATAGTTTGTGATACATCACTCAACACACTCTATACAAAAAGGGGTACAAATACAAAGTACCGGGTCTCTATATAAAAAGGGGTACAAATGCAAAGTACCGGGTCTCTATACAAAAAGGGGTACAAATACAAAGTACCGGGTCTCTATACAAAAAGGGGTACAAATGCAAAGTACCGGGTCTCTATACAAAAAGGGGTACAAATACAAAGTACCGGGTCTCTATATAAAAAGGGGTACAAATACAAAGTGCCGGGTCTCTATACAAAGTTATTATGATATTAAAATTTTACTTCCTCTAGATGGTTAGACTTCAACTATAGTCGCTAAGCGTATGTGTTTGAGTCATATAAGAATTTAGTCTTGATTGGCCTAGAATTGGTGGTGCCCGCCTCATCTCCTGTTCCTCGTTGGGTTGTGGACCTAGGGCAGATCCACTATATTCAACGTTTTATCTAATTTAAACCTTATATAACTTTTATACGCTGGACGATTATAGAGGAACTCTACGGGTTACTCTAGGGTTCATTAATGCATCATGTAGGAATATTTCTATTCACATTTAACTAAGAAAATATTGGATTTTCTGGAAATCAAACTATTCTTCATCTAAAATTGTTAGACTTCAACTATAGTCGCTGAGCGTATATGTTTGAGTCATATAAGAATTTAGTCTTGATTGGCCTAGAATTGGTGGTGCCCGCCTCATCTCCTGTTCCTCGTTGGGTTGTGGACCTAGGGCAGACCCACTATATTCAACGTTTTATCTAATTTAAATCTTATATAACTTATATACACTGGACGATTATAGAGGAACTCTACAGGTCATTCTAGGGTTCATTAATGCATCATATAGGAATATTTCTATTCATACTTAACTAAGAAAATATTGGATTTTCTGGAAATCAAACTATATCGATTTTACAAGGAAAAACGGTTTCTACTTCAAGCAAAACTCTTATGAACTCACCAACCTTTGTGTTGACACTTTTTAAAACTACTTGTATTCTCAGGAAATCAGTGAAACAGGAAAACTTCATCGCTTTGAGGATGGGACGTTAAACCGTCAACAAATTTATTTTGTCATCATAATGTAATTGCTTTTGAAACATGTAAACATATACTTTGGTGTAACTTTTGCAATTATATTTATGGTGGTTGTTTTTACTTTGAGCACTATTATACACGTTGTTGTGATACTGTACATGAAGTCCTCCACCCCCAGACGTTTCCGCCATCCTTGGTTTGGGGGTGTGACATATTCTTATGCATATGCATATACATATACTTAGTGTTGTGTATATGCATATACTTATGAATATGCATATACTTATTCTTATGCATATTCATATACTTATTCATATCCATACGCATATACTTATAAATATGTATATACTTATTCTTATGTATATGCATATGCTTATTCATATGCATAGGAATATGCATACATCATATACTTATTCTAATGATGCATATACATGTACATAAGCAATCATATATATTTAATTGTCTTATGCATATATTTATTCTGCTGCATGTACATATGCATATGTATATGTCATATCAGTATTGTTATGCATATTCATATACGTAAACATAATCGTATGTATTTAATTGTCATTTGTATATATTTTTTTCTTATGCATATGTATATGCATATACATATGTATATGTATTCGCATGCGCATATATTTATTCATATGTATACATATATGCTAATTCTTATGCATACATATTGAGGCATTATTTTTTTTTAAATATGCATGTGTTATGCATATGTTTTTTTAAAATATGCATATACACACGAAAAAAAAAAAATGAATATGCATTAAAAATGCATATTTTTGAAATATATGTTTTTAAATAGTAGTTTCGAAATGTAAGGAATATCTTTGCTGATTTTAAAAAAATAAATAAATAAATAAATAATATATATATATATATATATATATATATATATATATAATATATATATATATATATTCAAATTAGTGAATATATACCTTATATTTCAAATATAAGTTTTAAAAAAAATTCAAAAAAATTATTTTTAATGCATATTCATATTTTTTTCGCAAATACATATTTTCAAAAAAAAAATGTGCATGTCATTCATATAATATTTTATTCATGTGTCTTAGATATGTATGTATATGCATATGTGAAATTTGGTAGCTAAACACACTATAGATAATAATTTTGTTGGTTATATATAGAGGTGAGTTCAATATAGAATCAAACTTATTCATTCAACCATAGAACCACTTTTTGATTAAAAGTAAATAATATTTTATTAATGATTTTGTAAATTATAGCATTTATTTGAAATAAATCTCAACAGCATAAAAATTAAAACACAGGCATCAATCATTAAAAAAATTATAGTTACATCAATCAACAAAAAAACAAGAATCGAACATCAAAAAATTATGATTACAATCAATGATCATCGATGAACATTGGTGATTCATGTTCATAGATGAACATAGTAAAATATATGAAAAATCATAACTAAACATGTATGAATGTTTTGATAGATATGAATTAAATGTCCAAAAATTAGTAATGTACATATGTGAAATGTATGAAGACTATAATCATAATTGAATAAATGTTCATAGATGAACACTAGAAAATATTAGAACGTTTATTAATGTTCATAACTGAATGGATGGTATGATCAGAAATGAATAAAATGTTTGTTGATGAACATTGCTAAATAAATGGACATTCAATCAATTGGAAATATATGGACATTCATTAATGTTCATAGATGAACATTAGATGTTCAGAAATGAATATATAGGGATGTGAACCATTTAAACTAAGAATCAAAAATTACAAATATGTAAATTCCGACACAACATGATGATCGTATTCAAGAAAACATTTATAGAAATTGTATTTTACAGTTTCTTAAATAAAGTTTAAATTTTAGATCCAATAGTGATCTACATGAGATGATTTTTAGCCTAAAAAATTAATTCGTAAACTAGATAAGAAGCCCCACTTCGCGGGGGTTGGATTCGACGCTAATATTAAACAAAACCGATGGAAGACATTATGTTAAACGTTTGTCATGGAAGTAGAATGCTGTAATTGGTTGACTATGAAAGTATATTGATGCTTAAAAAATGTAGTAAAGTAGAAGTAAACTGAGATATATTCTCTTTTTAAAACACATATGTTGGGTACAAAACTACTTAAACCAAATTTAGTCAAAGGCAACACCAGTCCAACTGCTTCCTCTCGAATAAGCTCTTGCGGCTTTGAGATCCCTTAAGTGATGATTTTGTAAAAAATTACAAATAGAAATATTATAAATGGGTTTCAAATACTTATTATTTTTTAGGACTGACCAAAATGCCCTTTGCTAAAAATAATACATAATGATAACAAAGTTTTGATTAAATTGTATATACTTAACCTCTCCTACAAGATCATCTTCGGAACGATCCGACAAATTAAAAATGACAGTTATGCCCCTGAAATGTTTTGAATAAAAATCATTGGCATCAATAACCAATTTTATGAATTAAATATTGATAACAAAGATAATGGTAACTAAACTGAAATCAGGCAAAATGGCAAGCAGTTTTGTTAATTCGAGTTGAAAGTTGGATAAATAAGATAACAAACTTTCAAATTGATAAACAGAAAAAAAAAAAAAAAAAAAAACAGCAGATTTGAGAAATTAAAATGACGGTTATGCCCCTTTAATGTGTTGAATAAAAATCATTGGCATCAATAAGCAATTTTCTGAATTAAAACTGATAGTTGGATAAATAAGATAACAAACTTTCAAAAAAAAAAAAAAAAAAAAAAAAAAAAACCAGCAGATTTGAGAAATTAAAATGACGGTTATGCCCCTTTAATGTGTTGAATAAAAATCATTGGCATCAATGAAGTTACAGGTTAGAATTTCCGCTAAGAATAGATAACATTCAATCAGATTAACAATGCTTGAATAAATTCGAATTGAAAGAGAAGCACAATTACACCATAAATAGTTTTATAGCAATGTACTATAAACATGCAAAAGAGGTGAGAAAATTTAAGCATACCTAATATATATATATATATATATATATATATATATATATATATATATATATATATATATATATATATATATATAACCTTAATATCAACAATTTAACTATTAACATATAAAAGGTTCATAGATTTTCTTATGACATTATTTCAGCTTTGTTTTTGCGTTCAAAGCGTAGGATTCTAGTCACATTGTGGATTTATGCATGAAGATTTCTCCACAAATTGTATTCAAGGGTAATTTGGTGATTTGCCCCTACCTTGGATACCATACAGTAACAGGTTATGTACATCCAGGTACAATTATAAACATTAAATGATCCAAGACTAAGCAGCAACCGGCAAATAGGCTATAAATTCTGATGAAGTAACTGATTTTCCATCATGTGCTTTAGATGAAACCCATTCGAATGCTTTCTCCTGCAACGTCAAAAAATCTTTGGTTTTATTTCATGGTCCTTAAATTTCATGATTCTGTAACAAATCTTGATATTATTTAGCAAAAGAAAAGTGGGATTTAGAATTTCAAGTGTTCAAGATAAAGATCTACTGTGACACAAAAGGATCAAGAAAGAAATGAACCAACTTGAAAGAAATTATGCTAAAATTGTAAAGAATTTAATAACATGGGAGCCTGGAAATTTAGCAACTTTGATTCAAATAGTCATAAACATGAACTAAATTTTCAAGCAGCTGATGGGTATTCTGGAATCGATGTACTCTGGAAAAATTCATCTAATGAAAAGTAGCATATCAAAATCAAAATATGCGAGACGAATTATCCCCAACTTAGACAAATAACCATATCAGATCCCACGAATTTGAAGTAAACAATAGGTAATTGCATCAATCTAAGTAAAAAACAACAGGAGTTGAAATTAGGGTTTACCGATTCTCACAAGTGAATGTCTTCGACCATACCCAATACCACCCCTAGCACTCGATATCAAGCACCGGTGACCACCTCCATAAATGTCCAATATTCAGCCATGTTCACGTACGCAAAGGCCAAGAATCCCCACCACCATAGCCGATACCCTCAAAGTAAAAGAAAAATTACCTTCAAGTCGTTCTGAATCAGCCACGAAGAAAGAGTTATATTCGGCGACTGGTAGGGAGAGGAGAGGATGGGATAAAAGCCCTAAGTTCAGATAACAGATAAAGATGGAAGCAAAACCAGGCACGCTGAACAACACGTGGACAGAGAATAGAAAATTTTCCACAAACGTCGACGCCGGTCGTGCGTACGACACCGCCGTTTTCAACCTACGTGGCCCATCGATACGTCTTAATATCCCTGATTCAATCGGAGACGACGGTCATCTACAGGACCTCTCCTCCAATTCGATTAGAAAGAAGGCCACAGAGGCCGGAGGTATGGTCGAAGACGTATGTGTAGGTGGTGGAGAAGACATCTGATAAGAGAGGCGGTGGGGGGAGCATGAGGAATAAAAATGAAAGCGGTGGAAGGAACTGGTGGTGTAATAAAGAACGAAGCAAGCCGTTTGGATGGTGGGCGGTGACCATGGCTGAGGCAATAACAACGAAGAACCAAAAAGAAACAGCGGTGGACAACGAACCCAAAAGAAAGAGAGAAGAAGAACACATGGACAATAAACGAAGGGAAAAAAGACACGTAGATGCAAGTCAGCATTCTACATTAACAAAAAGGCTTAACAAATAAAATACACGAATGACAAACAAACAGAAGTACAGGGGGGTAAACAACAATTTCATAAGGAACAAATGAAATAGATAACATAAAAATTGGAAGGGCCATATATGCACAAATAGGAGGCAGCATACTGTAGCTAAGGAGCAACAATTTTAATATATAGTATAATTATAGTACATGAAGCATATAAAAAACATATAAATTCAATTAGTTTCTTGTTTAGCTCCTTTGATACCAATAACTAGTTTAATACCCATCCAGGACGGTTGACCGGTTTAATAAAAAATAATTATTATTTTACTAATATTTAACTTTGTTCTATATCATCATTATATAATTGTTACATCATTATATAATTGTTACCATGCACTTTACAATATAATGACAAATCTACCAAATAAGTAACATATGGATGAAAAATACATTAAAAGACAATTAAATAAAAAAGAATAGCAATCGATTAACACAAAATGAAATGAAATTAAGTTAAAAACAGAAAAAATGAAATCTATTATTTAATTACTTTAAACTCAGTTAGGTATATCATCATCGGTAGAATGCTTCAATATCATCAAAAGATGCCTAATTGTAAAAATACCAACACGACAATAAGAATTATGAGAAGTAAACTTTTTGTAACAGAATAGATAACAATAACAATCGAAGAAAAATTATTTCCATATCGTAAGAAAAATAGAAAATTTAAAAACTATGATGTAACTTATTTGAATATCTTCACCATCTTGTAAAGTAGAGATAGAGATAGGCTTGTTACAAATATGATCTTCAATATTATCATTGATAGACCTAATTGTAAATAACGATCACATTAATAAGAAACATGCCAAAAAAACATTATCTAACTTTATATAAGTAATATAAATTAACCTATAAATTCTCGCTTTTGTCTTCTTCTACTTCAGCATCATTGACATCAGATATACATTTTTGAAGACCATCATTTTCTTTAGTGTCCCAAGCATCCTATGTAAATTAAGACAAATCAACTTTATTACATATAAACTATAGCTTTTACATAACTTACCACAATATGAAATAATAATTACCATTGTTGAGATTGTTGATCGTATCAAATCAGTACATGGTCCCCATAATGCTTGGTCTAAGAGCTCCCATTCATACTCAGGGATTTTAGATAAACATTCATATTCATCTTCGAATATATAATGATCTTCATCATTTGTTATAACCACCGTACTTTTCTCAATTGTGGGAGAAATCTTATATCCCTTATCATTATGCTTTTCGTCATTGTAGTATTTAGTTACAGTAAAATGATGCACGTAGTTTGGCGACATATTGAATTTGTCAACCTTAATAGTAAAAATGACTGTATGACCACATAAGCTTTCGAAGAAGAAATTTTTTCACCTAATTAGGATCACCAGCACCCTAAGAAAACATGACAAACATATTAATATACATACACCCCCCAACACACACACACACACACACACACACACATATATATATATATATATATATATATATATATAGACACACACACACACACACTTAATATACTTATGTATATAAAAGAAAAAAATGTATATAGTATCAAACCTCTAACAAACTCTTATTAACCAATTCATCAACAGTAAAAGTAATAAGAGAAGTAGCATCTGTTAGTATAACGTCTTCGATTTTCATCCTTGAGAGGTTCCTGTAAAGTAAGATTAGATGCAAACGATGTAGCTGAGGCTCGAGTTGGACTCGATTCCCTTAAACAGATTCTCCGTCTGTTCCCAGGGTACAACAACCTAAACAGTGTGTACTGCCGGAGATAACCACTTGCCTGAAAAAAAAAAGCCGGAAGCAGAAATGCAGAGAAGGAAGAAGAAGAGTAGTAAATTCATTCTTGTGTCTGAATGAGAAGGCAATGGTCTTCTTTTATAGTCAAATTGTGAAACGGAAAGAAATCACTAATTGATTGAGCGTTTAATGACAATAAATGTCATTAATTACGCAATTAATGCATCCGTTACAAAATTCAAAAATAGGGACCAAAACTGTCAAGTTTAGCAAAAACGAGGGTAGCGCGCGCCCGAGTTTTCGAAGCTGCATTCGTGTTCGCAGGTCGCGCCCATACACGAGTTCGGTGTTTTTGGTCTACGGAACCAAGATTTGCACCCCCCCTGCGCGCGGGTAGGAATTGTAGCATAACCATAGACACAAGCTTGTAGGTCTTCCATGTAATGAAGCTTATAAACCTTGTTGAGTTTGGTCTTTCTACCAATGTGGGACTCATTCCCACATTCCTCTCTTTTGCTAAACTTATTCTCAAATATCCATCTTTGAGTATCGATATCTCATTCACTTATACTCTATTTTGGACATATAATATATCGTTTCGAAGCCCTCATGGAGGAGAACACAAACCCACTTAGAGTTCATTATATGTACAACATATGTATATATTTATATATGTCCAAAGTTAGTAAAAAATATAAATATTTTTACTAAATTTCCAACAATCCCCCACATGAGTGGAGATCGATCTTTGCACATCCAATTTCCAGACGAAATTTTCAATAGTTGAATCCTGCATAGGATAGGTAGGTATTACCCTTTGAACCTTCCCTTAAGAAGTTACACTTAATCTCCTAACAGTTAGTAGATCTCGATGTCTTTGAACTAAGCTTCCATTTATGTAGACGACAATGTAAATCTCACAGGACTCTCCCTGACAAGGTCATATCCTCATAGATGTGTTCGTTTTGGTCATGAACACTAACCTGGTTTTGCAAGAGCTTTAGGAATTTTTGCCCCTATAATTCCCTTCGAAGCGACCCCACTTCTCTCTCACATAGGTGATTCCAAGAATCATTAAAAACCATATGTTTAGCCTAATTTGGTCACTACATAAAGGAATGGACTAGGATGAAATGTTAACTCCCCCCACAGTGACCTGCCCCACTCATATAATTAGGTTATCCTTTTGAACCCAGATCTTGGGATCTCCAGTCTTTTGGGTAAGGTTTCCTTCGTATGAGTTTATTGATTCATGGGATTTAGTCCCATTCCTCTTGACGACTTATAAACTACATCTCTACTCAAGCCTTTTGTAAGCGGATCCGCAATGTTATCCTTTGACTTCACCCAGTCAACCGTGATAACTCCCGTAGAGATTAGTTGTCATATCGTTTTATGTCTACATCTAATGTGCCTTGATTTCCCATTATACATTGTACTTTAAGCTCTACCAATTGCTGATTGGTTATCACAATGTATACTTATGGCCGTTACCAGCTTAGGCCATTCGGGAATGTCCTCCACAAATTGACGTAGCCACTCCGCCTCTTCAGCACAAATATCTAAGGCGATAAATTCAGATTCCATCGTAGATCTAGATATAACTGTTTGCTTGGATGATTTCCATGCTACAACAGCACCTCCAAGTGTAAACACATATCCACTTGTAGATCTGGAATCTTTTATGTCAGATATCCAATTTGCATCCGTGTATCCTTCAATAACTGTTGGATGTCTTCCGTAATGCAGTCCATATTCTCGTGTGTATCTCACATACCTCAGCAACCTAGTAATACTCTTCCAGTGTTTAGAACTGGGTTTACTAGTGTATCTACTTAGTCTACTCACAACATATGCTAAGTCAGGTCTGGTACAACTCATTAGATACATTAGACTGCCAATAATTCTTGAATATTCCACTTGATTAACACTATCACCTCTATTTTTACGTAGATTTTGACTAGTGTCAATTGGAGTTCTAGCTATGCTAGTATCTTCCTTAGCAAATTTTTCCAGAATTTTATCCACATAGTGTGTTTGACTCAAAATCAAATCACTTTGGGTTCTTGTGATCTTCACTCCAAGAATCACATCTGCTATACCCATATCTTTCATGTCGAACCTGGATTTCAACATATCCTTCGTGGATCTTATCATCTTGTCATCACTACCAATGATAAGCATATCATCAACATACAAACACAATATGACATATCCATGAGTGGTGTTTTTCACATAGATACACTTATCACACTTATTGATTCTAAAGCCACTTTCCATCATGACTTGATCAAACTTTTGATGCCATTGTTTAGGAGCTTGTTTTAATCCATATAGAGACTTAACAAGTTTACAAACCTTGTTCTCTTGTCCTGAGGCAATGAATCCTTCAGGTTGCTTCATATAAATTTCTTCTTCCAACTCCCCATTTAGGAAAGCTGTTTTCACATCCATTTGATGAACTTGCAAGTTCCTGATAGCTGCAATGGCAAGAACTAATCTAATGGATGTTATCCGCGTTACCGGCGAATAGGTATCAAAGTAGTCTAGACCTTCCTTTTGTCTATAACCTTTGATTACTAGTCTTGCCTTGTATTTATCAATACTGCCATCAGGTTTCATCTTTCTCTTAAAGATCCAACAGTAACCTAGTGGCTTGGTACCTGGAGGTAGATCTACTAGTTCCCATGTATGATTTTGTAAGATAGATTCTACCTCATTTTTGATGGCTTCTTTCCATTGAGGTCCCTCAGAAGAAGTTACCGCCTCTTGGTAGGTTTTAGGTTCACTTTCCACCACATAGGTGAAAAAATCATCACCATATGATTTTTCAACTCTAGCCCTCTTACTTCTTCTGGGTCCTATCTCTTCCTCCTCGGATTGAGCTTGTTCTTCCTCTCGAACAACTTCGTTATTTGGTAAAGATGGGATTTCAACTTCCTTGTTCAAACAAGGAAACACATCTTCAAAGAATGAAGCATTCCTTGATTCCATTATAGTATTCTTGTGTATTTCAGGATTCTTAGAATCATGCACAAGGAACCGATAAGCACTACTACTTTGTGCATACCCAATGAATACACAATCCACTGTTTTAGGCCCTAACTTTTATACCTTAGGTGGTGGCACTACCACTTTAGCTAGGCACCCACACACTCGTAAGTACTTATACGATGGCTTTCTACCCATCCAAAGTTCATACGGTGTTTCATTCTTTTCTTTGCGAGGTATCTTATTTAAAAGCTAGTTAGCTGACAAAATAGCTTCCCCCCACATTGACTGGTTTACACCTGAACTAATTATCATGGCATTGACCATTTCTTTCAAAGTACGGTTCTTTCTTTCAGCAATTCCATTGGATTGAGGTGAATATGGTGATGTGAATTCATGACGAATTCCATTTTTAGCACAAAAATTAGCATAGGGAGAAACATATTCCCCACCCCTATCACTTCTAACCACTGTAATTCTCTTGTTGAGTTGATTCTCAACTTCATTCACTACTAGAAAAACAGCCTTTTACGACGCTCATTGCACGTTGTAAAAGGCTCAGACGACGCGCAAATGCGCGTCAAGGAAGTCCCTGTCATAAAGAGAGACGACGTGCATTTACGACGCTCATTTACGATGCACAATTACGTCGCGCGTTTACGACACACAATGCGTATCAAGGAAGGCCCTGTCATAAAGGAAGACGACACGCATTTGCGTGTCGTAACCTTACGACGCGTGTGTTAATGACACATAATGCGTATCAAGAAAGCCCCTGTCAATAAAGGCCATGTCATAAATGAAGATGACACACATTTTTGCATATCATAACTTTAAATGTTTTAAAAAAATATATATTATTTTATTGATTTACTAATTTTCAAATTAAATAATACATTAAAAATCTCATAATACAAAATAAAATACCATAAATAACAAAGATAATTCATTTCACTAATATGTCAAATAAAAATAATTATTCCAATATTGAGTAATTGGAATAAAAGAAATGAACTCAAGAGAAGTAGAATTTATATACAATTGCATTATCTAGCTTACTACGTGCCAATTAACAACTCTCTGTGTGTTTGCTTTTGCTTGAGTCTTGTTTCCTCCAAAGCTTCTAGCCATGCCAAAGTATGAGTCTTGCTTTTGCTTGAGTCTTGTTCATGTCCAAATCAAGTAAAACATTGCTAGCTTATATTCATCAAGTCCTTGTCGTGAAGTCTTAGATAGATGCTTAACTGCAATATCCAATCCTTCTAGCAGACCATAGAGATCAACCTGCCAAAATAGTACACCAAATTAATCAGAAGCTGAGATGCTACCTATAGGACAATCCAAAAACACAGTAAATCCATGGACTTATTGTGGATCAATAATTACATACACCAAAGTAATGAAAATGGATGTTTGTTGGCCACACAACACACATAACAAATGTAGCAGAAATGACACATACCTTCCTGGAACTGAATTGAAGTCACCACAGACTAACATTGGAATATCTGCACTTGCAACTATCTTTTCCAATCCTTTTAACAGTGTGTGGACCTTCAATTTTCACATTTATATAGTTTTTAAGTTATTAAACAAGAAGAAAAAGTGTATATATACAAACAACAAGAGATACTTATCTTCTTTGTTGTCATTTCTCTTCGACAAAATCTACACTAAAAGAAATGTGCCCATGTATGTTAATGTCAAAATTCCTATGAGGGCAAAATGGTCATAATAATTCGGAACAATCCGGAAGAGTATTTTTGTCCGAGTGGAAAGTGAATCTTGATTTTATACATACATACATATATATATATATATATATACACACACACACACACACAACACAACACAATATCAATGTATGTCAGTGTGTGTGCTAATAACCGAGAAGCTAAAGAGCTTCCTAACATGGAAGATAACAAGAAAGTAGCAAAAATGAAACCATGTGGAATGTCTTCACATTTGGGATTAAAGTAGGTGTCTGTAGAAACACAAAAGTGTACATTGAACCCTCGAATAAAGATTGTATTGCACCCAATAATGCTATCTTTTCATCTGTTTTTACACACAAAAAAAAACTATTAGGTCCAAATTTAGAAGGTAGAATGATATGTATGCATAATTACAAGATTGCCACTTTGGATTCTTCATGCTTCTCTTGTATATGTATGAGAGAGAGAGACCTGATGCAACTGCAACAGCAGCACCCCTGAATTGGGTCATTAGATCTTTGCTTTCTGATGAGTCACCATAATTTTCAGTCCATGATGATATGATGATGGCCATTCCAATGGCAAGAAAGATTGAAGCTGCATCAAATGGAGCAACAGGTCCCATGGCCAATGAACCAACTAAAAGATTTCCAAATAAACCAGCTAAAATGGCAACCAGTCCATTCCCAAGAATTATTTCCTTGGAGAATGTAATTGATAGCCATTGTTGCTCAAAACCTCTCTACAGATGCATCAAAACAAGAGCATTAGAACCATACACAATATAAAGGGTGTATTTAGAAATGTAATATTATATCTCACCTTGTTGTGTTCAGCAACAAGCCAAGATTCGAAGGCTAAAAAGAGGAGAGAGGTGGCAATCCCTCCCAATATATGCCCCACCATTAGAATTTTACCTCAAATTTAGCTCATCTTTCCTCATCTTTAAGTTTAGCTCAGAACCAATACGTCGCAAGACACAGTCCTAATTTTTATACCAAATTAATTCTAAATCAAATAAATTAATTTGATCAGAATGTTAAAGAAGTACAAAAAATGAAGCTGAAATTAATCATGCGCTTACAGGTACTAAAATCCATGCAATTCCAACTTTTGACAAAAAATACCTAAAATACCCTTTCCTGTTTTGGCCTTCCTTACATGTGTGAACTTTAATGGAATGGGGGTTAAGCACAACATGAACTTCTACTGAATCTAGTGTTATGTATTTTACTTGGCATGTTACTTTCTTAATTAGATGATGCCAATTAAAGAAATATATACCTGATGAAAGTGAAGGTTGGATTGTTGATCAAGAAAATTGTGGTTTTGGTTTTGGTTTTAATTGAATGATGAGGCCTCCAAACCGATCTCCAAGCCCCCTATCAGCCGAAGTGTATAAACAAGAAAGTCTTGATGAGTTACCTGAGGATAATATGTTTTTCCACTATCATCAGTCATGTTATTTACCCTAAAGGTATAATATATTTAACATGCACTCAGAACTAAAAAAATAAAAAAATAAAAAGCAAACTTACATAAATAGTATGTGTTTTTTATACAGGTTTCAGGAGCAGGGTTAAGTACATTAGCATTTTAGATCCAACAAATACGTGTTACTACATCTCAGAGATCTAGGTTGGAGGACATGATAGACCTCTGTTTATGGTATTTTTGAAATCATCTATCATTCTAATTACACGCTTCATTTTACTATCTATACAATTTTATATTAAGTTTTTTGATGGAGGTTTCGTTGGAGGATTGTAAGAATGAAGTTTTTATTCGTTTATCAGCTGTAAGATGCAGAAATGAGCAGGGCCATGACCTCACCAACTTTCTTCATTAACTCATTCGTAGATTCAATCAAATAAAGCACTTCATAATTATCCATCTCAATCAACATATATGTTACACTTGTAGCATTCTAGTGTTCAATGTGCTCCACCAAAGGGTACAAGTATGTCCTAAGGAACTGCAATTTTGAGAAATCCAAGAACCATAAATACTTCACAAAGTAATCTATATTACTTGACAAATTAATCATGTGATAAGGAATAATACCTGATTGGTTTTCTAGAGTAGTAGAAGCCAAAACAGAAGCAAGTTTTCTAGTATCGATTGTTCCAGAAAGATGCACATCAGAGTACGATGTTACTTCTGTTGAGACATCAAAAGGTAACTAAACCATGTTAAGCATGCCTGAAGAAAATAGATGATAAAACACATATAATAACTCATGAATCGGGAAAAGATAAGTTGGAATGAATACCTTAATTGCCTTAGGCATTTCATCGAATGACTTATAGGCGGCCGGGGTTTAGATAGGCTATCACTGGCGGATCGATGATGGCTACTGCCCATAGGACTACTAGATAAACACTAAAAACATAAACATAAACACAAGAGATTTAATTTCAGTTGGTTTACCAGAACTCTTGACAAAAAACCTACCAACATATCTCCAAAAATAATATAACATATGATATGATTACACAATAACCCCATCCCATTAGGCTACTGAAAGATATAACTAACTTGTTGAAAGTACCTGAGTTCTTCCTTCACGGGATCATAAATCTTGAAAAAAATAAGTATATCATCCTTGCTTTTCTCAGGTGGTGGAAGAGGATGCAATAAATCCTGAAAACGATGTTCGGTTCTTAATCGGGAGAATTAGGAAATTCAAAGGTACCGGACCGGCCGGAGTGAATATCAAATCTACTGCAAATACAAACTGTTCTACATTTATACTATACATGATATTATAATATATATATATATATATATATATATATATATATATATGATACCTACAACTTTGTAATAAAAAAAGATGCAACAAACAAGAAAACAGAAATAGAAACAAAATTTAGAAACTATTCTGCATGGCTATACTATGTAAGGGCATGTTTCTTTCTTTTTCTTAAAGTATTGTTTTGAATGGATAAGTGATGTTTCTTTGGAATAACTGATATAGAGTAGACAAAGAATGTTTCTTTTTTGGAGTGAATTACCATTTTACCCTTGCATCTATAAATAATGCTTAATAGCAAATTACTATTTATCTGAGAACTATTATGACTTAAAATTGTAAACGACAAATCATAAAAATTGGAATATACTTAAAAAAAAATTGCTATAAATAATGATACAAATGCAATCATAGTTGGTCAAAATATCATTAAGTAACTTGAATAAAAAAGAAACAAGTACTAAGTCCAATATGCGTCTGAAAGGACTAAGTCATTTCAAGATTTGATAAGAAATTAAAAAATTATGAGAAAACTGGTAAACTTCAAACTTAGAATGTGAAAGGGAAACGGAAACAACCCAGCCACATTAATTTGCAACAATCCACAAGTCACATATGGATTGAAAAAGTACCAAAAGGGACGGAGTACAAAATGGAAAAATCATAAACAGATTACCGAAAGGGAGAAACAAACAAGTTAATTGCTTGAAAATTTGTACCTCGTGAGATTCAAGGGCTGAAATCAAGGTTTTAAAAATGTAGTTCGTTGTTGGAGGGTCTAAGGTGTTATTATCATGTGGCTTTTTGAGCTTGAGCTTACTCTTTTTAACAACCATTTCCACCTGCATACACAAACACAAACAGAAACATATCCAGTTATGCTGAAAGATTTTTCAAATTGTTGATTAATTTTTTTTTCATACAAACCCATCGCCACCTGTCCATCCCTCCGGTGGCTTCACAAATACAAAACCAGGCCCTTTATTTTAATTTATATTTTATAATAAACCAAAAATTATTAGGTTTAATTCAATGCAACAAACAACAACCTACTATCATTGATTTGTTTATCATAGGTTTTTTTGTTACTAAGAATAATACCTACCTGATTCAATACATAGTAGACTTTGAACCGATTAGGGTAATTAGAAGTCCCTCCATGGAACTTAAAAAAAGTTTTAAAGATCCTAACTTTATTCAAAAGATATAGAAAGAGGTTAGAACTTAAAAAAAAAAAAGTTTTAAAGATCCTAACTTTATTCAAAAGAAGAAGAAGAAAAGACTAACTTCAATAGCTCAACCAATCTTGGACATACATTTGCTTCAATAACAGCTTGGATTTTATCATTTGTGCCATCTGAAAGATATGAAAGAGCCCAACAAGCATCTGTCAAAACTTCTTCATCATTTGAATGAATAAGTTGCTGTAAAGCTGGAAGTGCAGGTTTTGTTTGTGAAAAGTCAAGACAAATTAGAATTCATCATTACAAATGTTGAAAAGATAGAGCCAAAAGAACTATGTGGGTAGTTTAGTCTTTTCAGAAACAAACCTAACTAAAAGAAGGTTGTGGTTTGCCTCTGCAAAAATTTGAAAATGTCCATGTGACATTTCGCAACATGGATAACTTAGCATGCTCGTTTAATTGGGATAGTAGAGGAATCAAAGCACCTTGTGCAAGTACAAGGTCATGACATTTAGGGGAATCACCAGCAACATTTCTTAAAGCCCATACAGCCTAACATGTAGATAAAGTGAAATCGAAGTCATGATAATGAATTTGTGAATTGAGTTTATGAAATACAAAAACCTCTAAAAGATACCTGTTCTCTAACATCATCACTTGGAGATGCAAGAAGCTTCACAAATATTGGAACAGCACCATGATCAATCACCACTTTTGTGTGTTCAGATGTCCCCGAAGCAATATTAGTCAAAGCCCAAATCATAACGATCCTCTGTAAAAAAGTTAGAAATAGATATAGTAGATATATAATTGAAACCCTCCCCGACTAGAAAAATTACCTTTCCATGCCCTAAAATGATTGAAAATGATAGTGGAGCGAGTACTCTATGACTACATTCATAATCATCACGGAAGATTGAGGTATCCATAAAATATGAAACGGAAAAATCATTTTTTACAGAACACTCGCCAATCATATGACGAATCTAACAAACATAGGATGGAGAACTGTGGTGAACCAGAGAGAAGACGAAGGGTGGTGGGTGCATCATCGATTAAGACCATGGCGGATGGGGTATTTTATCAAACATGTTGCGTGCATCATCGATTCTTCCCCATTTACTGTATAAGTCGATTTCTCGATTTCTATTTCTCTTTCTCCCATTCCAGTCTCCGACTTTCTGTTGCTGTGATAGAGAGTTTCCTTCCATCGCTGGGATTTGAGTAGTGCCACCACTCCTCCGAAGGCTCTGAGTTTTCTTAGTCTAGGTCACTAGACCTAATGTTGCTGGCAAGGGCAGGCGAGGTGAGATTGCTGGAGATGAGGGGCTCCATCGGCTGGGTCACGCTGGAAAGCGTTGGACGGTGGGGCGGGGCTAGATGGAGGTCAGAGGTGGGAGGCGCCAACACCAAGAGAAACGTCGAAGGTGAGAGAAGCTGTCGACATTGAGAACCGAGAAGAAGAGAAAGGGTTTGTCGAAGTGAGAAGGAGAGAAAGGGAAGTTAAAGAGAGAATGAGCAGTACACGAGGGCATAATCGGGGCAAGTTCTTGAAAAAAAAGCCCTAGCTACTAGGGAAATTAAAGTGGAGGGAGAAAAAAAAGGAAGGCGGGATTTTAAGTTTTTGGGATATCATTTTCCCCAGATGGAACGCTCGCGTTCTATTAAAATTTATAAAGCGACGGTCGTAGACGACACGCAGGTGCCCTCCGTGTTTTTTTTTTTTTTTTGTTTAGACACTAATTTTAGGGCACGCAAAAATGCACGTCTGAAATCCTTTAAATTTTGGAAGAGATGACATTATTTTTTAGACACTCACCTTTGCGTATCATAAATAACTGCGTTTTATGGTTCGCGCATCGTAAAAGGCTATTTTTCTAGTAGTGATTTTTGTACAAGACAAACTTGTCTATTGCTTCATCTTTACTCTTAAGTAAATATATGTAGCAATATTTTGTGCTATCATTGATGAATGTAATGAAGTATTTGTTCCCACCTTGAGTAGGAATTGACTTTAGATCACACACATCAGTGTGAATTAAATCAAGAGGTTCGGTGTTTCTTTTTATTGTTTGGAAAGACAATCTAGTTTGTTTAGCTTCAACACATGTGGGGCATTTGTGATTTGAGTCAATATTAAGTTTTGGTATGTATTCTAGTTTAATTAATCGCTTAATTGAGTTGTAATTTACATGTCCTAAGCGACCATGCCAAACATTTGAACACTCAAGCAAATAAGCAGAACTAGAACTTTCATTATTGATTTTGTTTGTCACCATTACATTCAATTTGAACATGCCATTCAAGGCATATTCTTTTCCCACAAACATACCATTTTTTGACAAAACAAACTTGTCCGACTCAAACACTAGCTTAAAACCAAATTGGTTCAACAAACCACCCGACACTAGATTCTTACGAAGTTCAAGAACATACAAGACATCCCTAAGCTTCACTTCTTCCCGAAGTCATTTTTAGAATGACATCACCAACACCTTTGATATCCGCGGTAGCAACATTTCCCATGTAGAGCTTTTCACCATCTTCAACTTCTTTGTAAGTGTTGAAAACACTTTTGTCATGACACACATGATGAGTAGCTCTCGTGTCAATCCATCACTCCTTTGAATTTGTATTCATAAGATTCACTTCAGAAACCATAATCGTGAGATCAGTTATCATGGCCACCAACTCCATGTTATCATTCACCATGTTTGCTTGATGGTTTTCCCTCTTAGTTTGAGGGCACTCCGAAGCCTTGTCACCCGGTTGGCCACAATTGTAGCACTTGAACTTCTTCTTGAAAGCTCCTACCTTGGGGCCTAGATTTTTGCCCTTTGCTTTCCCTTTGTGAGGTCCCTTGCCTTTGCTTTTGGAAGTTTGACCAGCTTCCACCATATGAACCTTAAAAGATTCAACTTCACTACCTTTCTTCAAGGCCATTCTATTGTCTTCTTCAATGCGAAGATGCACCACCAGTTCCTCCACAGACACAAGCTTGTAGGTCTTCCATGCAATGAAGCTTATAAACCTTGTTGAGTTTGGTCTTTCTACCAATGTGGGACTCATTCCCACATTCCTCTCTTTTGCTAAACTTATTCTCAAATACCCATCTTTTAGTATCGATATCTCATTCACTTATACTCTATTTTAGACATATAATATATCGTTTCGAAGCCCTCATGGAGGAGAACACAAACCCACTTAGAGTTCATTATATGTACAACATATGTATATATTTATATATGTCCAAAGTTAGTAAAAAATATAAATATTTTTACTAAATTTCCAATAGCATCTTCATTGAAAACAACACACATGATCTCTTCTCCTTTATCAATTATTCGTACAACCAGTTTATACCTATATAAAAAATGTTGATACTATCTGAATAAAAAATACTTATGATTGACAAGGGTTATCAACATTTTTCTGACAGCTTAAACAAAAATAGCAACCATCATGCATAGTACCTTCTTACGACATGTTCCACGTTGGACAAATTTCCAATCATTAAACATATCTATATCGACGATGGTTCCCTCAATAGTATATTTTGTTCCCTTTACAAAGAAAAAAAAACAAAGTGAATTTGCAAATCACATGGAAGTTTAGTTATAGATATGTATAATAAAATACCTCAACAACACCATCTTGTAAGTAACTATAAACATTAGATAATCTAGTCACAAAGAAGTCCTCTATTTTATTTTGCTCTGAAATAAATCATACCGGTTGTGATACACTATAAAACAACAACATGATGTGTAAGATAAATTGATCAGCAAGTTATATCATGCTTAAATTTCATGAAAATATATAAGTAACTACATAAGATTGAAAAACTAAATCTCCTTCACAGGAAGGTTCAAATACATTTGATATGAAGCTATTGTCTGTATCGTTGGAACACCGTACTGTTGGAACACCTTATAGAAACAAATCGCAATATTAAATATACAAAAAAAATGTAATTAATATTGTTTTGTTAAAAAGAATAAACCTTTAAAAAGAGAAACTTTGCAATAAGTGAGAATGACAACTACATTATCATTGTAACTTATTACATCTTCATTGTTGTCATCGTTGTACTGTGTAGCAAGTTTTCCTCATATTACGACACTAACTTTCATACCCATGCATGTTATTTTTCAAATACAATATAATTAATATATAATCTTGTAAACTAAATTATTGGAAATAATTGTTTTATAGAACATACGTTTCATCGGATATGACTATTTTACCCATGTCTGCATCATACACACGACCTTTTCAAACTATTTTTTGTTAGTATAACGTCTTCGATTTTCGTCCTTTCGAGGTTCCTGTAAAGAAAGATTAGATGCAAACGCTGTGGTTGAGGCTCGAGTTGGATTCGATTCCCTTAAACAAATTCGCCGTCTCTTCCCAGGGTTCAACAACCTAAACAGTATTGTGTACTGCCAGAGATAACCACTTGCCTGAAAGGATTGGGTGGAAGCAGGAATGCAGAGAAGGAAGAAAAAGAAGAGAAAATTCATTCGTGTGTCTGAATGAGAAGGCAATGATCTTCTTTTATAGTCGAATTGTGAAACAGAAACAAATCACTAATTGATTGAGTGTTTAATGGCAATAAATGCATCCATTACAGAATTCAAAAATAGGGACCAAAACTGTCAAGTTTAGAAAAAATGAGGAAGAAAGATTAGATGCAAAGGATGTGGTTGAGGCTCGAGTTGGACTCGATTCCCTTAAACAGATTCGTCATCTCTTCCCAGGGTACAACAACCTAAACAGTATTGCGTACTGCCGGAGATAACCACTTGCCTGAAAGGATCGGGCGGAAGCAGGAATGCAGAGAAGGAAGAAGAAGAAGAGCAAATTCATTCGTGTGTCTGAATGAGAAGGCAATGATCTTCTTTTATAGTCGAATTGTGAAACAGAAACAAATCACTAATTGATTGAGTGTTTTATGGCAATAAATGCATCCATTACAGAATTCAAAAATAAGGACCAAAACTATCAAGTTTAGCAAAAACGAGGATAGCGCACGCCCGAGTTTTCGGAGCTGCATTCGTGTCCGCAGGTCGCGCCCATGCACGAGTTCGGTGTTTTTGGCCTACGGAACCAAGATTTGCACCCCCCATGCGTGCGGGTAGGAATTGTAGCATAACCACAGACACAAGCTTGTAAGCCTTCCATGCAATGAAGCTTATAAACCTTGTCGAGTTTGGTCTCTCTACCAATGTGGGACTCATTCCCACATTCCTCTCTTTTGCTAAACTTATTCTCAAATACGTATCTTTGAGTATCGATATCTCATTCATTTATACTCTATTTTGGACATATAATATATCGTTTCGAAGTCCTCATGGAGGAGAACACAAACCCACTTAGAGTTTGTTATATGTACAACATATGTATATATTTATATTTGGATAACACAAATCCACTTAGAGTTTGTTATATGTACAATATATGTATATATTTATATATGTCCAAAGTTAGTAAAAAATACAAATATTTTTACTAAATTTCCAACATTTTTTCTATAAAACCCCACTCAAAACACGTCCAATAATGTCTACAAACAGGTGCATGTTAGAAACACATATATATTTGAATAAGAAAAATAAGAATACAATGTTAACCTAATAGATATTTAGAGTCATTAATGCATGAAGAAAGCTTGCAGAAAGGAATGAAATTGAAAGACTATCGTTGGAACAACGATAATGGAAGGTAAGTATCTAAAAGTTGGAAAAATGATAATGGAAGGTGAGAATCTGATACTAATGCAGCAGGCATGAACTTACCGTATATATTTGTAGTCGCCGATAAAAAGTATCATATGGAAGAACTTCAAAGTTATGTATCCTGTAGACACCTCCTTCTTTGATTTTGTTATTAAATAAGTGTATCAATGTATGAGGAATGGTTGCATGGATGTAACAATTCTAAAAATAAAAAAGAGTTAGAGAAAACAGAAAGTTTAAACAAATAGTAATTTATGTTGATAGAAAGAAGAAAACTTACATGCTCATCCGATAAGATTAGGTCAAAAGATATGAGCTGATTGTTGATAGGGTTGTATATTGTCCATTTACGGGAAACAATTACATGCACTTTCCACCTGTTTATTATATTAGGACGTAAATCGCTAACCAAGCGATAAACAGATTGCATCTTCGTCAATGGTTGCTTACATTTGTAATAAAAAAAATAAAAA